TTGATCACGATAACAATAAAATATTTACATTTGGAAATTAAAACTAGAAAATCAAATAATTGTTAAACACACGTTATTGCACCACTCCATAATTAGTAAATATGCAAAATGATGATAAACAGGATACGTGTCAGTTAGATGAATTCAACAATGATTTGTTGATAAATTTGTTTTATTGCTAGTAACAAAATTTCCTGTGCTAATTGTTTTTTCGTCGGTCCATTTTCACAGCTATTATATACTCGTATTTTAATTAAATAAGAGTGTATTGTACTGTATTGTGTGTTTAGTATTTGCTTCCATATGTAGATTTAATTGTGGGTTGCTTGCGCGGTACACCGATAATGGCCTACATAATGTAACAACACGTCAGGATTTATTCGAGAATGATGTTTTTTATTTTTATAATACGTTATAAACATCGATAGAATTTTATATTTGATAAATATTCGATTAAAAATAATATTAATATTATATTAAAATAAAAGAAAATTCTAAGTGTAAAACATCATAAGAGCTAAAAATAATGATACCTATTTATCACGTACATTTTCCATACAATTTTGTGCGACCTAGAGATGTGTTTAACCATCTGAAACCAGTGAAACAATCAGGAATTATTTTTGGGAATGCTAAGCACATAACAATAATATCATCCCTGTTTAGTTGATGTTCGAGATGGAAAGTGTGAACACTTAAGTATTCCATCGAAGTATTTAAAAAAATATATATAACTTAACTTTAAATAACGCTGTAAATATTTTTGGGTACGTTTGCTCGTATTGTCTAGTTTAGCGGTTTTCTAACTTTTTTGGTTCATACATCCTCAAAGAAAAAAAAATAATCATCCCTTCCATAAATAAATAAAACAACATTTTTTTTAATGAAAACAAATTAATATCAATCTGAAAATAAATACATGTTAGTGTAATATACAATATATATGTTTGCCTTACGCATCCACCATAAGTACTTGCACCTTAGGTATGCCTCATAGTAGGACCATTGATCTAGTCTATAAAAAAAAATGTGGGCGCTTTAAAATATTTTTTATTCTCCCCAATACAACTTTGAGCAAAAATAACTTAAAAAATAAAAATATAATTAATTCAAGTAATAGGTTTAGTTCATTTTCAGTTTCTTAAGTTTAACCTAACAATAAAAACCCTAGTTACCACAAATGAAGCAATCTCTGTGTACCGGCTTCGTGAACATATTATATTAGGGTGTGTGCCTAATGTTTTTTTGTAGCCCCGATTGCTAATAAAACGGCATGTTTAGTTATACATAATATATTATAATATGTTCGATACTTCGAATGGGGGAAAATGAATTTTCCAATTTTCGCTTAACCCACGTCAACGTTTATACACATACTCAGGTAAACGAAAGCATATTAAATATTATATTTTACTTGTATAAGGGGCAGTGACGAAGGGCATAATAACATAACTGTTGCACGCTGCGCGCACGAGACGTTTATTCGTTGAGATAACATTTCATCAACGTAATAAATATTATAATATTATACGAATATCATTAAATGGAGGCGAACGATTACTTTTTTTTTTAAATTTCTTGCGGATTGATTTTTCATAACGTATTGCGCGCGTGCTCGTTGAATGTAATATAATTGCGCAGATTGTGCACACGATCGTTTCCATAAATCACGCAAATGCGTATATAATTATTATTAATTGACTTTCGACTTGTACGCGCGCGTGCGCTACCGGAAGTAGACTCGAAGACGCAGCGACGGCAGCGGCGGTGGTGTAATCTGGTTTTGTTTAATAAGTTTTCAGAGATCATAAATCACGTCTGAACATCATCTGCAAGCTTTAACGGAACGCTCGATTACTATCGATGTGCGGCGGAATAACATTATAATAATATTTCTGTATTATGTATTATTATGTATGTATTGTAGGATATTTATGTTTAACATGTAACGGTATTCAATAATGGGCTTCAGATACGTTTTTATTAGTTTAAAATTGTTCGACCCCTCCCTCCATCGTCGAAGTGTAGGTACTTTAGAGTTTGGAAAAAGACTGGTTTTGGGGGTTTCAATTCTCGCCGTTGAATCGTTCAGCTTTCTATTCTTTCCCACTCATCGTAAAATTGCTATATTATACCGTTAGATCATGAAAGTCAAGCTAAAAAAAAATTAAATTAATTATTTTTAACATTTTAAAATAATATTATCTATTTTTCTATTCTTATTTTCACAGGATTTTCAATCTTAAACCACCCCTTAAATGAGATTTTTGGTTAAGTATGTAAACATCCATATAACTTCTATTTTATTTTGACAATTTCGGAAATGAGATGATAAACAAAATAAACATTGTTTGGCTTTTAACTTGGTTTAGAATATTTTATAATAACTTCATTTTTCCGCATTGATAAGATGTAATTTATTTTTTGGAAAAATAATTATCTTTAACGTGTGAATTATGTTTAGACAGAAATGTTTAAAATAAGCTCCCCTTTCACTAATCTACTATTGTTAACTATACTTCATAACATTATCATTAAAATTTACATCGTAATCAATATTATAGTTTCAATTTTTTTTTCAATCAAAAAAAAAAAAACAATAATCATGCGTTTTAGATTAAACTCGTAAACAACATTTTGTCGGTCATTTTTCGATACAGAATTATTTAGTTATTTAATTATTTGTGAGAAATAAATTTGGTTCATTTGGATATTGAAAATATATTGCAAATTTTTCGTTCACATACATTTTCTATATAAGTTAATTTTCATATGGAACTCAAATTGTATTAAGTTTATAAATTATGTAAGGTTCAAACGGTAAAATGCTGATGTAATTAAAATTTGACAGTGATAAAATAAACATTATTATTTAACGATTATTTAATACCGAAATAAAATTTGTTCGAGTTATTAACCACATACGATAAAACACGTTGTATATTATATTGAAATTGTTGGATTTAAATCAAATCAGGAAAGTCATCTGATTAAATTTCATAAAAATTAGTTATTGTATTTTAAACGGAAAAATTCTCTACTAATTCGGTTCATTGAAATTATTCGTAACTATAAAAATATTATAGGATATAACTAATTCTTACCTATAGCTATATGGACTATAAACAGTTATTTCATCGAGTAGTGAACTTTGTCGTACATCATTTCAATATATGTATACTAGCTATATATAACTAGTATATCAGTTATTTTATTGCAAATGAGTACAAGAATATCTATAGTTCATTTTCAGTTTTATTTCTCTTTGGTAGAGCTTAAGTAATATTTAATGATTTTAAAGATTAAAATATAACAACTTTGGTGTGCATGATACTTATTGAAATACAGATAATCCCAAACTACTTAATACAATTATGTTCTATTACTTTAAAAAGATTTAAATATACACTAAAAATGGTATGACTGAAACGATAGGTTTCTTAATATAAAAAAATACGTTGCTATGTGTATCTTAAAAAAAAAAAAAAAAAACTCATTATTTTTGATTATAATTTTAAACAAATTAAAATACCTCAAGTAAATGAAATTAATGATCTCAGTGTTACTTTTGATTCAAAACTTAACATCAAACTTTATACAAATAATATTTTTAAAAAAGAATCAGCTAATTTAGATTTTATCAAACGCACTTGTAAAAACTTCAACGATGTTCATGCTCTTAAATTATTGTGAATTTCTCATTAGTACGTTCTCGATTGGAATATGCGAAAGTAATTTGGCACGAAAATTAAATAACACAAAATCAAGACCACTTTCGAATTCAAAAAATTTTTTTAAGATTTTTAAGCTTCCAACGTAAAATGTATAAAGCTCCTTATTCTGATTATAATATTATGAATGAACTTTTCTCTATTTTACCACTAAATGAAAAAAATATTTAAACTTTTAAATTTAAAATTTCTTTACAGAAATAATCGAACTACTTAACTTAAAAATAAACTCTCTAAATTCTAGATACAGATAGCTTTCCTGTTTACCAAATGTATGTTATCCTCCCCATCTAATATTTTAATATCTTTAGAAAATTCTATAGAAAATGTGGATTTATTTATTTCGTTATTTTCTTAATAATCGTATTTTGTGTATTCATTTATATTTATGTATTTATTTATGTAAAATTTGATTAAAAATGAAATACAAAATTTAAGTTTAAGACAAATTTAAGCTAAACTCATCCCTGTGCGCTGATGTCCTCAATTGCGTTAATTTAGTTTCTATTTAATGCATTCAAATTGTGTTTGTTTTCTGATCTCATTAATAACCTATTTGATTTATACGCACAATGCACACGTAAATTATTTTAAGCGAAGAGGGGTCACGTTTACGAGTTCCATAAAAACGTCAGTATCGAGCAACTCAGCCGAGTACACTGTACTTAACAGATAAGTACTCGCGAGTTAATTTACAATGGACATTTCGTAGTTATTTCTTAAATTACCGACTTTATGTTTTTCATGTGAAATTGATGTCAAAAGATTTTGGTGAGCGCTCTTTTTTTTTCTTTTTTTTAATAATAATGATTTGGATGCACTGAAAAATAAACGTAACATAATGGAAAATTCAAGATACCTCAGGGAAAGAAAAGAAAATCTCGTTATGATTAAAAATTAAATCAAGTACCATATTATGTTATCATGATGATACTTTATATTATAATACATATTATAAAATACGAAGTTACGTTATTATCGAAACTCATAATGGATGTGTATACCTTCGAAACAACAATATCATACAGTAAACGACAAAACTTGAAATATTTACGTATTATATTATCATTTAACTTAAGCTATAGGTTTATAAAAATATTTATGTAATTATTAGCGGATGTTGATGGGTTTTACTTTTAATCTTGGCATCTTCGTTGCTATATTATTTGCTAAAATATATTTAAATAACATATGAATTAATAATTAAATAATTTTATTATCAAAAAATCATAAATTAAAATATAATATTGTTAATATTATGTGTTACAGGAATCGTTTCATTTTTGTGAAAATGTATTGGTTGTTTAAATTTGTTGTTGGTCTGTTGGCCTTAACTGCAATAGGATCAGTGTCAGCCGATGATACGCAAAAATGTGTGCCTCCTGGACCTGGGTTGACGCTAAACGATTTCCTTTCCGGAAAATTTTATCTGTTTGAACGGCAACAGGCATTCAGCATTAAACTCCTTCAAACCGCGGTGGCCGCTTCACCCAAGCAAAATTTGATATTTTCACCGCATAGCATTTATACTGCTCTTTTGATCACTTATTTCTTAAGTGGCAACCAAACTGAAGAAATACTAAAGAAATTTTTAAATCTACCGCCGGAACAGGTACGATAATAAATAATTAAAACTATTAGGTATCCAGTGAAATCGTAATTGATTGTTCATTTCGTCGTTACTATTGGCAAATCATTTTAGTGTATGAACCAAAAAGGAAAAAAATATATGAAATTGTTAACTACCATATATGTATATTTATTTAAGAATATATGTATATGTGTATGTAAATGTGTATATGTATTTATAATATATATACACACATTTATGTGTAAATGAAGAATTATTTATTATCTACTTAAATTAATTAAAAAATAACTTCTGTAACTTCTTTAACTTTTCACTTCGTTTTACATACATTTCGCGCTTTAATTCAAATTAATTACATTTTGATGGAAGTTTCGGCAGGCTATAAATATTTAAGAATGCTTTAGTAATTTTTTTTTCATGCATGCCAACTTGGCTCTACATAATATATAGTAAAAACTTATTTATCATAAATCTCTGAGCAAGTGTTTTTTTTATTCAAACTTTACAAGAGTTTCGATTCGCTTTCATGTGTTTCATATGTACATAAATGCGTATAAAGTCTCGTGGACCAATGTATTGATTTATTAATATTTATTTATGCACTTTGTTTGTGTAGAGCAAACTGAGCGTGATGCAAGCGTACAGAATGGAAAAACTATTTCAGTCGATGAGAGCTCTGAACGCCAGCACCGATTACGAGTTCAGTTCGGTAGACCGTCTTTTTATATCCAAACGACTGCCGGTACAAAAATGCATAGCCGATGTGTTTAAGGATGAAGTGCACAAAATGGATTTTGTCATCGATCCCGAACTTGCTCGTATGTACATAAATAACTGGGTGGCCAACCAGACCAACGATCACATTAAAGATCTATTACCTTCGTCGAAAATTTCGTATAACACGAGACTTGTGCTGGTAAGTAACATTCGTTACTCTGCAGTTGGTTCGAAACACCAGCTGTTCAACATGAAATTAGGTACCTAATACGTTTCTACGTTTTCGCGGTTTCAGGCGAACGCCGCATACTTCAAAGGCTTGTGGAGCTCCAAGTTCTCTTCTGAAAGTACAAAAGAAGAAGTGTTTTATACGTCGCCCACCGAAAACGCATTAGTTCCGATGATGTGGCAATCCGGTAGTTTCAACCTACGTAAGTGTTACGCATCTAAAACGACTTCAGACCGTAAACATGCATTCAATATTATTCATAATATTAGTGATCGTGGGTTTGAAATTTGTCATGTAATATTTTGACTGACATAATAATAGAGTTTTTGCACAACACTGGTTAAATTCTGTTTATGTAAATATGTTATTTTATTAGTTGGTGCATTTATTCGATATTTAGCCACCAATTATCTATTTTGAACAAACTTAAACTAATTTCTTTTTGTAAAAAATAAATAAAACCACACTCTTATAATTACACCGAATAATAAGCTGAATAATAGTCTAAAAATTAAATATTCATATTTTGTCTCGTTTATTATTTAATTTTGGACAGTACCGCTATCACCATTATACACTTTATTTTATGTGTGTTACTGTCGGGAGGTTCGCTTATTCCATATGATTAATAATGTTTATTTGGCATGAATGTATTTAGGTTCATGCATAATTTTTATGGGGTTTTCACGACAATAATCACCGGAGTAAAACATTATGTTCAGTATGCCTGTCGGTCGGACTAAAACCCGTTACGTGTGTTTCTATAGTAAGCTCCGAGGAATTGGGAGCGCACGTATTGGAACTGCCGTACAAAGGTGGCGACATCAGTTTGTTCGTGATCCTGCCACCGTTCAACAAGCAGCGAGGCATCATCATGCTGACCAAGAGACTCAACACGAACATTCTACAGGACATTGTGGCGTCCAATGAATGGAGGTCGCGCACAGTTGAAGTGTCTCTTCCCAAATTCAACATCGAACAGAGCATGGACAACCTTGTGCCAGTAAGTGTTTTTATTTTTATATTGTGCGGACGCGCTGTTGCGAAACCGTGCCGCGCATACCTGTTGAGTCAACGCGATAGTGATTGCCTCGTAGGCGTGTTCTATATTTCATTATATCCGGGACATTTTCTAATTCACGAGACCAAAGATCGTGTTCCACGTGATGTTTCGTACCGTGCGCCGTGCGCCCCGTATCAACTGACAGTCGACATGTTAACTCTTTGACATTTCGGTCACTCTGAGCGAGTCCGCCACGTTCGGAACCGTCGAAAACGAAAAATTAACGAAACAAAATACGAGGTTAGGTCGAAAGTTAGTTGACCGTCGATCGAACGAACTAAAGCGTGATTGATCGGAGTAGAAAATATCTCGTATGATTTCGCGAACGTCATCGGGATCAGAGACGATGTACCGTTGTTAGACGTTGTTGTACCGCGTGCTGGAGTATTGTGTCTTGGATCGCGAACACCATTACTAATACGTCACGTTTTCCAGATACTCGAGCAAATGGGAATCGGAAACTTGTTCAAAGGCGCGGCCGACCTATCGGCGTTGACGGGCAGCTCGCGCGACGTGTCCGTGGACGACGCGGTTCACAAGGCAAAAATCTCCGTAGACGAGGAGGGTACGATTGCCGCGGCCGCCACGTCGTTCATCACGTCCAGGTCATCCCGGCCGATTGAGCCATACAAGTTCCGGTGCAACCATCCGTTCGTGTACTTCTTGTTCGACAAAGTGACAGGATCGGTGCTGTTCATGGGGGTCTACAACTCGCCCAAGTCCAACTAGACGTCGTCACGTGACTCATCTGCGACCGCTTATCCAGCGCTTTGTTCATTACTTACGATACGTTATCATTACCGGCTTGGGCCTGGATTAGGTTTTAAGATTGTAAATATTCGTGTTAAGTATATGGTACACTATTATTTTTACCTTTAACGCGTGACGCGTATGTTCGCGTCGTTGTACATCTTACAGGCAATGTCCGCACGGCGGTTGGTCAAATATTTTTTATCGTTCGACAAGATTTGGTCAACTTTATGATGTTGCGCTTTGGGTGTCACACGCGACTTGATATTAAACTAAAAACGGTTCGTGTTGCATAGTTATATAGCGCTCGATAGTGTTCTTGGTTGTACTTGTGACGCGTAATTGGTACAACGAATTGTACGTTATTCGTTAAAATTTGCGGCTTAAGTATACATTCTTAAGCCATGGCCATAGAAACTTTTGACGTTTACCAACAATAATCTTAAAATTAGGCAGTCTCCGGACATCGTTCGTGGAAAATGAACATTATAACATGTACAAAAGTCGAATACAAAAAAAAAAATCTCCGGAAATTTCCTACCCACTCGATTTGTTTTCCCCTCATCTTGGATTTCGAATCGTCAAAACTTAGTGCTGTACATATAAATATAGATTTACTGACTTTGAGTAAACCATTTTCGATTGAAAATAATTTATTTCTCCTTTGATAAGACTAAAATTTCAATGGCTCCCGCGATGATGTAAGATTCGCATAAAAAAAAAAATTAAAATTTGGTCTTAGAGATATATTTTTAGGTTACCGGTATCATCGATGATTCTCATACGTGTTTTGTTATCACATTCATTTATTCTAGAAGTCTTCGACTGAATGTTTTTCAATTTAATATTAATATATTTTACGATCAATGAAGTTTAGAATATATTATGGAGTACTTTATTCCAATTTTCAATTGTATTCCATCCCTTACAACATCACCGAATTTTGATTTATTAATCAACACAGTTGTGTTTCGAGAATTATATCAATCAATTAACGATTGCAATACTGCCAGTATTTGAGTTATAGTGATCGATAAAAATAATATAAATCCAACACAGCCACAAATCAAAGTATTTGATAGTTATCTTATATTTTTTCTCAGTAAAAAAATCTAATTTAAACAACCATAAATTATCATTTTCAAAAGACGATAAAAATATATAACAATAAATATAATAAATAATGATATATTTTATTGAAATATTTTACGGAATTATTTTTAAATCATGTGAAGGTTTTGAGGTAAAAAAAAAGTCAGTACCGACGTAAATCATGAACACTGTATGTTACTAAAGTGCAATCACATCGGTTGAGTTTACGGAAGCACATATTTCTTTAAGAAAAATGTGATTCCGATAGCCGAAAAAAAATCCCTTATTTTTAGTTACTGTGGTTGCATTCCGATGCGATGGTACACTACAAGCACTAAACGACCATGTTGTATAATATTATTGTGTATAAATAATGCATACGTGGGTTTTTTTTTTCAATCGATTTGCTCACGTTGAGTTAGGATATCATTATTATATCCGATGGCGGGTTGACTATTGCGACACGTGTGTACGAAAAGCGGTTGTCCCGTGAGGTGTCGCCTTAAGTATATAAGCACGCAATTAAGAAAATCACTAACGTTAGCGAGTTAGTATAACAATATCATAAAACGTACTTGTATAGTATTTTATATTTTCCCGTATATAGTCGTGTACTATGTATGTCCACCGCTTTTATCGCGCGTCGAAACTATTTTTATTACATTTTTTGTGTATTTTTATGTGTATATTTTAATTTATGTATGTGTAGTATATGATTTAGTATATTATGTATATTACTGTATTCATTAGAAAATTGTTTTTACATAACGGTGTTAACGTTTAAAGTAAAATAAATTACACGACGCACTATTACTTGCGTTTTCACACCATACTATTTAGAAACGAGTCAAGTTATCATATTCGATACTTGAAAACGTATCAAACTGCAGTTATAAATGGCGATGTTCCCAATATATCTTATATATAAATATTTTTCATTTTTATCGTTGTTTAAATATTTTTCATACTTGTTAAAAGACAAAATTTAAATTACTATTGTTGGTCAATGTAACACGTCAAATTAACAGAAATCAAATAACTTTATTAAAGTGGTTCTCACATTGTACTCCGTGGAGCTTGAGAGTTCCGTGAGAGAAGTCTAAGGGCTCTGAGGCTTCGTCGGAACATCTGAATTAATAAATTCAAATATTACTATATTTCTTAGTTACAGAAGGAAAACATTGGTACGATTACTTTAATTGCACAATTAATTTAACGTTTTTTACTTGGCCGCATATTCCCATAATGATATTATAATACTGTACCCGATGTGTTTGCCATCGGTCGTTTCGGAATGGCTAATCTCAAACAAGTACAATAATGTTGTAGCGTGCCCCTTGAGATGATTGAATTATTTCATATCGTCTTCGGTAACCCTTTTGACCATCAACCGTATTTTTCTATAGTATTTTTATTTTATTTTTCAAGACTCGGTAAGAATAATCGATGTATTCAACTATTAAAAAACGTATTTCATTCAACCGATGGATACTGTTGAGAGCATTTTCCGTAACAGGTCGAGAGATAATTTTTATTTGGTCACGCGCGTCAGCTTGCCTACGGAGGAAACAGCAAAGGTGCGTTGTTGTCATTGTTTTTAAATTTTTGAAAAGCGTTTTACTAAACCACATATTTGCGTTATACTCGGGATTATTTTTCCAGAGATATTGTTAATTTGTTCCAGCGATGATTTTGCAAACGTAAGCGGTCGAATTTCGTAATCAACCATACACTTCTACGTTTCTGTAATTTTTTATTATTTTTTCTTAGGATGTATTTAAAAAGTGTTCGTATTTGAAACGATCGATTGTATGGTATGTTAATATGGTACCTGGAAGCCCTTATAATACGCATATTATACAGATTCGAGGGAGTAGTATATTGCTATAACGATCTCCTGGGCGACGAAGTTTTCTCCTTCAATATAAAAATAACTTATCTTGGAAAACCTCAGTGAATCTGTTAAGGTATCGCTCCCATAATCAAGGATTAAAGTCATTTTATTTTAAATTCAATTACATATATTCAAGTATTCAATTTAAAAAGTTCCTTTTTATTATCATATTATAAAATCCGAAGACAGCCATTTTATAGGGTTTTTTATTTTTTTTTTTTTTATAAAAATGTTGATGTTTATACAGAATAAAATCTCTTCAAGATAGAACTTATGAAAAATTAACTTTAGGATATCTGCAGTGTTCAAAAGGAAATGCAAATAGCCATTATCGTTATACATAGTAAATATATATTGTATTAGTACGTATTATATACAGTTAAATAATATGTACCCTTCCACAGTGGTCCACAGTTAAACCCAAACTAGCCAAGCTGAGCTCAATTCTAGTTACCTAGTAAATTACGGTTATTCCCTTTAGTTTAGTAAACCGATTAAGTTATTACAGTTAGTGCGCGAAATAGTACATCAAATAGTTAACCCTAAATAGTTAGGAGAAAAGCAAAGGAGAAGATGAAAATAGTCTACGAAATAACTTTCGAGGTGAGTTCTATACATCGATGCTCATATTGGTTAGGTAAGCTAATTATTATTACCAACTAACCGAGGAAAATTTATTTCCCACGAGAAAAAATATTACCAACTATAATACTTCTTGCATTTATTAGATTTAATCACGCAGATACACTTATTATGTAAAGGGTGTTGGGAAAAAAACAAGCATAGTGGAAAAACGTGACGATGTCGTCAAACAACTACAAAGTCAAATTTTTATTCGACCATGCGTGGTTTGAAATGTTGAATTCATAATTTTTCGTTATTGGAATTTAAATTTTTTAGACCATCAAAAATCCCAATTGTATGTAATATAACAATATGGTACATGATGAATCCTAATTAAAATGCTGAAACATACGTAGGAAAGCTAATATTTTCCGACAACCGTTAATAAATGACGAATAAAAAAAATCGATTTATTTGATCATCCATAAAAATTACATAATATGACGTGTGTAATGATATATTTCTAGCCGTGAATTTCGCGAGAAAAGTGCGAATTATGAATCGTTCATATTTACGCGAGAACGTAAACGTATATGTACTTCAATGCACGTGCAATTAATACTCGCTTGCTCGTGAATTGCAGTCTCAAGATAAAATACTATAATTCTATCAACTAAAATTTTAAAATAAATTTGATAAGTGTAATCTTATACTCGATAGCGTAATGTAAATATAGACGCGCGTTTCTTACGTTATTTAGTTCAAAACCCTCTCGTGAATAATTGCATCGCGCGTCTATATTGCTCGCATGGTGATAACAAAAAAAAAAAAAAACAAATCAGACGAAATTAAAAATACTAAAACTCCACAAAGTCTCTGGTACCCGGATTGTATATTTATTACCTAATTATCCGACATAATTTGTTAGGTAATTTTCAAATGCACGCGGGATCCTTTTGAAACAGTATTTTATAGGTCACGTTTTAATGTGAAACAAGAAGACATCGGTCGCGGATTGGGAACACGTAGGTATGCCAGCGCAGTGTAGAGTGAAAATGACGGTTCAACGCATTTTATTCGGCTTACGCAAACCCTTCGTAGGTGCACGTGGTCCTTACAATAACTGCTGTGTGAACGGTACACAATATTTTGCGTCGTCAAACATAATTGATTTTTATTATTGAAACTGCTTTAGCATATTAAACACCACTGAACTATTTTTATACGAGGGTGGAAATTTAACGTATATCATATCCATGATGTACCTACCCGATCGGCAATTCAAGGGTGACCGTTGGAACGGACGCCCTACAGAGGATCGTCGCTCAGTAGGTGCGAAATTAATATCTAGTTGGCAAGTTTGAGCAAGTTAATGCTATTATTCATCTTAGTTAGATTCCGTTTTCTATTTATTTTTATTTTTTTTTTCACCATCAAGTTAACAATTAAATTAATTCACGTGTTAATCACGTAAATTAAATTTAAAATTACGTTAACAAATAACCTTAACTTAATTTCTGTTAACAAGTTAATTGAATAAAAAATTTAAAAATTATTTTCGTCAAAATAAGTGATAGTTACTCACAATTAACAAAATAACTTAATAAAAATTAATAATGATATGAATGCATAAAATTCTCATTTATGCATATTTTCTAAAATTTTACTCGAAATTGCATTACGTCATTATCATCATTACGAGCCATAGTACTATTATAACAATTTCAGAAAAACTATTGTTTCTGTAGCAATATATATTTTGTGAGCTTTTGTTATTATTAGAACTCGGTTGTTATTAAATTAAAAAATCATTAAAATTGTATTGCAATAAAAATTGCTATAATTTTTTTAATTACTGAAATATCTATTCAAAAAAAAATGGCACGAGTACTTTTTATTAATACTATTATATTACAATTGTGAGTGCTTTTATTAAATATTTAAAAATAAAAATTCATGGAATAGTGGTTTTAGTCTGGTCTTCCAGGAACATACAAACAAAATGATCAACATTTAAAAACGTGTTAATTGTTTTAACCTTATAATATTTATAAGATACTTCGTCATAGTCGTAATCAAAGTAGCAGACCTCGGGTTGTGGGATCACACGCGAGACATTTTTCAGTTGATTATGTTTTACACCCACGATCGGCATTTAAAAACTGAAATAAGACAATCATCGGTCTGCGAGTAAGCAAAAAGTTTTAAACGTCAGCGCAACTATGTTAAAGTATTAAACGAGGGCCCCGTGAATGGGGACGTACACCTGAAATTTCTTTGTAATCGGTGACTTCCCGTTGATTCCCCTGATTTAATTTAATCGCCACATAACGGAATACACCAAACTTAAAAATCAACTATAACATATATATATATATATACAGTGGTTGAATTGGAAAAAAAAATAAAGGTGGACTCTAAATGTAGCTGAACAATTAGCGTTCCAAAGCAAATTAATCTAAAAAAAACCGTGGGGGACTTTGTCCCCCCCACCACCTAAATGCATCTACAATATAAATAATTAAATATATCTATTGATTAACACAGATATCTATAACAAATAATAAACAATACTAATAGGTATTTATTTGTATTAATTCTATCAA